ATGCACAAATCTACTTTATATTATAGGAAATTTAGTGTCTAATTTGTAGAAAAATGCTTCTTTCTAAGTGTTTCTGTTGTATTCTATATTCAGGTACTACTGGAATAAAAGCATGAACTTATTTTAATTTGAGATCTTTGGAGTGGAAGTAGTTTACAATCTCTTGTCCCCATGTTTCATGGTAGAATACAAAAGAGATCAGAAAAGATCACTGGATGGCAGTATGACACAGTAAACAGACACTTGAGGACTCACGCCGTACGTAGACTTAGGTTTGCTACCATTAGTTGTGTTATCTTGGACAAGTCATTTGGTTGACTTTAGCCTCTCTTTCTCCATATGTAAAATGAGGTCATCATATTATATATTCCAAAAGTTTGCTACCGGAATCATGGTTTTTCAAGTTCCATTAGTGGACTCCTGAATCAGCAGGTTGCACTAAGTGCATTCGAAAATGACTCCTGGTTTCTGGATTTCCAGGCTTGTCTCATGCCCATCAAGGATGGCCAGGGTCTCCTCCTTCCATCTCTACCAGGGTCAGAGGCTGGTAGGTGGGCCCCCAGAGGATATGGCATCAGTGAGATAAGAACCTGGTCCTCCCAAGTGGCAAGTCATGTTCACTGTGCTAATGGGTCTCCAGAGTCCAGCCTTGGCTGTGGGTGTAATCAGGAGGCAGCTCCTTCCTGTCTAGGCATCCTGGGCTTCCTTGTGCACCACAAAGGGGCTTTAAGGGTAGACTCTTGGCTAGAAGTAGCAGAGAGGGAGAAACCGTGATTTGCCGAAGGTCTGTGTTGGTGGTAACAGTTAAATCCCTTGGCTGGGGATTTTCTTCTTCCAGCTCTTTGCAAGGTCTGCTGGGCTAATCCTCTAACCTGTTTGCTCTGTAGAAAATCCCTAAAGGTTTTCTCTCCTGATCACCTGCCTCTCTCTGTTGATACATTTGTTTTGAACAATACATTTGAATACATTTGTTCTGACCTCTAGGAAAGGATTACAGAGGCTGTAAGGAGGAAGCTGTGAGTTGATATCACTGAACTTGAGCTTCATCTGTCCATCTAGCCACAACCAGGTACTAGGGATTTTTTTTTCTTTCTTTTAAATGAAGAGGAGGAAGAAACAAGGAGGAGCCAACTGAAAAAATAACCAGAAAAATAGCTTGTGAGGTTCGACTGAGGCTGGATTCTTTGATGGAGGTGTGCCTTTCTGAAAAGGCTGGGTGGTCTAGGGACAGGGGACCAGAGTGGCCTGATGCCTGCTAAGTATTCCTGTGCTTTCTCCCCCGAACTTTGCAGATGAGGACATCCAGGTCTCTGTCTAAGGTAATAAGATGAGGCAGTGAATCTTGAAATTCTGCT